TCGTAGAACATACCACGAACCGTAGATAGCCCCGTGAATGGTTTTTGTCACCTTTTTAAGAAGGGTATATCAAACAGGTTCCACCTATTGCAAACCTAAAACTTGAATTTTTACTCTAAGTTAAGGTTTATAACAGCGTTAGATGGTCTTTTATGTTCATTAAAACTCCAAGTCATTAGAGCAAGGTTCCGAGAGGATAAAATCTAGAGTTCGAGCGTTTTTCAAATTTTCACCGATCTCGCCAAGTAATTTGTTCTTCTAGTTATATAAGGCTATATATCATAGTGATGGACTGGGTTCGTACTCACGCCCTACATATACTTTCTATCAGTAAAGAATTATCTAGGTTTACATCCTTAGTTTTAATAATTGTTGAGATAAATTTTTGTTGTTGTGTTCTGAATTATGTTCCTGATTTTTGAGTTGCTATATCTTGCATTGAGATTCTTGAGTTGATTGTTCATTTTTATTTTTTATCATAAACACTATTACTGATTTATTATTTATTTATTACTGAGTTAGCATTGATAATCCTTTAACAACTTTTTTTTTGTCTTAATATTGATTTTTAAGAAAGTAAAGACAAGTTTTAAGTAGAGTTTAAAGAGTGATTTAAGTAAGAGTATAAGGGAACTAAGTATTCCCAAATGTATCAATTTTTAAATTTGTAAAAGAGAAATTTTGATCTATTAACGAGTTAATGAATTTAGAGATATTCCAAAGCATTACACACTTTTAAGAGGATATTTTGAGCAATTACCACAAATTGAGAAATAGTATACATTATACATTTGAGCATGAATATATATTTGTTGGGAGTAATATTGAATACTGATATGGGGATGATTTTAGACAACTCACATTCCTCATAAATGTTGTAGCCGACATAAGTAATGCATCATACTTTTTAGATGACACCTTAATAATGCTTTCGAGCAGAGATTTAGTGAATCCACTTAGTTGAGATGTTCTATATCCTGACAAGATACAGGACAATTTTTGTAGCTTGGGAAATATGTTGTATCCTCACGTTGCTCATAGTGATGGTTGTTGGTTAGAGAATCTACAAAATAGAGTTAAAATGGTATTTTATCATATCACTTAATATGTTGAGTTCAATGATGAGTAAGTATTTATAAAGTTCTAATGATTTCACTCATACATTTCTATACATTCAAATTAGTATATATTTATATCTATTGCAGTCCTTTCATTCAATCATTTCTCTTCGGCTATATTACATACTCGTACATTCAAAGTGTTGATATCATTAGATATGCATCTATTTATGATGCAAATACAAGTGTTCAAATCATCAACAGACACTTCGTTGAGATCAGTTTGCACTCCCAGTTAGCATTTGGTGAGCCTCTTTGCATTATAGACGACTCAACTTTTATCATTAATTAGTTATTTGACGTGTAGTGGGTCATGTCTTGACATCCATTTTGAACAATAGAGGCTTTATAGATAGTTTGTTATAAGTATGCTTCCAGTATTCCTTTGTTAAACTATTTTTTTAGCTATTATTGTTGTCAAAATATTTTGAGATAGCTAAGTACTTTGAAATTAAATAGTTTAATACTGTTTAAAATCTTAATTCTTATTGGATTAGTCTTTAGCTAAATAGCCAGCTAGCCCAAGGGTTCTCTTGTGGATCATCAATGGTTCTCAAGTGCCGGCCACGTTCAAGGTGTAGGCTTGGGTGATAGTTGGGATTTTGATTTGCAAATGATAAGGTTTTTCAAGAACTTCTGTTCTAAGCTAAAATGGTGATTGTGCACTGATTTGCACTACTTTTTGGAAATGGTTTACACAAATGAGCTCCAAATTTCTTGGGATATATATTCAAGTAAATATTTGTGGATTCAAACCTCATTTTTGGAATTGGGTTCTTCAGTTAATTTGACTCCTTCTCAAAGTGAATGATTTGGGTGTTATTATTAGTTGTGGATTCTTATTTTGATTATTTGATTCAATAACATTGTGTATATTTGCACATTATTCGGAAAGGGAAAGAACAAGTCTTGGATGAACTTTTGGTTGAATTGATGCAGGTGATTTCTAAACCTTGTAAAACTAGTAGAATCGTTTATTTTCCTTCACTGTGTGTGTTGGGGAGTAATGGGAATGACGTGATGTGTTCAATTATTTCACTTGATTTATCTTAATGAATAAAACTGGGATGAAAGAAAGAGGCAATGTGTTGATTATATTTATTTGTGAATTGCCTTGTTGTTGACCCTAAATTTGTTGATTAATGAAATGCTTTGATAGCATTATTGTGTACTTGGATTGTTTGTGTTGTTGTCTCTTCCTTATGGTGTGAAATTTCTTCTTTGCATTGATATCTTTATCCCGTGAAGAGACATGTGATGATCATGCCGACGTAAATGGTTCTGGTAAGAGATATGATATATAGCCGAAGGAAAACTGTTTTGGCTAGTGATATGATATTAATCCCTAGGGAACTGGTTCTTGCTACTGGTATTTTATCGAAGGGAGATGGTTCCGGTAAGTGATATTATAAAAATGATGTGAAATGGTTCAACTAGTGATATAATATAAAGGCGAAGGAAAAATGTTTCCAGCTAGTGATGTTGTGCCGAAGAGAAATGGGTTTGGCAAGAGTTTAATCTACTGGACACTTGTCATAGATCTACTTGAAACTTCAAAATGACCTACTTGGTACTTGTGATTGGCATATTTGAAACTTATTGGTTGTTGAACTGCGATTGTTGGACTTTGATTGTTAAGCCGTTGGAATTGTGTATTGTAAAATTATTAGGTTGGACTGATTTATGCTGGTTGTAGTTGTAAGAGACTCGGTTTGGATAAAAGGAGTACTCGTATTCTAGAATAATTTTGACTTATTTAGTAGGTTGCTTGCTGAGCACCGTGTTGTTCGGTACTTACTCCTTGCTTCTACACTTATGTATGTTCCAAGCCTAGTTCTGTGTGATTGCTTTTTTTCATCACCATTCTCTTTGGCTCAACAAGGATTTTGAGAGGTAGCTGCTTGTCATCCTGGCGGGCCCTCTTCTTCCTTTATGTTTATGCTTTGTTCTATTTGAAATATAAAGACTTTTGAAACTTGTAATTATCTTTCAATTTTGTCTTAATACATTAGTGGATTGAACACGTAACAACATGGTTTCGGGTTATATTAGAATGACTAAATTTTTTGCTTCTTTATTTATCTTGTCTTCCTTTCAGCCTTTCTTAGCAGTTTTTGGTTTTGTAGCAGACTTGTTGTCGTGGGATAGACGAGTGCAATCTCTTCCATTTTTGGGTCGTGCAACTAATTTATTCTTAACTTTGTTATGTAATTCTAGTAACTATCAATACCTATTTTTAGGATCTTATTAAGGTGGTTCTTAATTCAGTTTTATCTGGTTTGTGAGTTCTTAAGATGCTATTGTCAAGAGAGGAATATGTTGCTACCATGTGCTAGAATCTCTAGTTATTGAATATAATCTTGTCTCTTAACTCTTCTTGGAGATATAAGGTTTGGAAATGCGCTTATTGAGAGCCTTCTAACTCTGTTATCAAGGTTTTTCTCTTAAATATAACCATAGGACATTTCTAGGAAGAGGCAACTCTTTCCAAACATGGAGTAAAAAGAGGAGTAAAAATTATTGGGGCCATTGTGGGGTGCTGCTATGATGGCCAAGGGACCACTAGAGTGATGCGAGCTACAGTATCCAAGGGATTGCTATAGTGGTCCAAGACAGTCCTTTCCTGGATAATCCTATGTAAGAGAAATATGTTTTTCCTCCAAGGCGGGTCGATCTAAGATTTACTCGACTAGATAAACCCAATTTTAGATTGAGGAATTTTACCATGGGTATTTTTAAAATGAAAGGATGGATCATTACATTTAAAGGAGTTTAACTAAACGTGACATAAACTTAATAAAATTGAAGTTCTTTCTTTCGCTCTCTTATAAAGAGATAGACATTAGTTAGAAAGAATCAAAATATATATATATATGGATCCCAATATGATTAATATTTATCTTATTGACCATAAAAGGAGATTATTTCATCAAAGTAATTAATGTACATATTCATTTGATCAAAAAATAGTAAGACGTCTTCAAATAATTTCTCTCCATATTGAATATTTTTCTTGAAATGAATAAAATATACTCCATCTTTTTATTTTAACACTATTGTAAACACAATAGTTTGGTAAGTGTTTTGTGCAATTATTTCATATTGACTTGTCTCAAAACTAATATAGAAATATATATAATGTGAATCGAGTGATAGGTTGGTGATTATCAGACATTAACAAACACATATTTAAGCAAGATTTCGTTTCAAATATATTTGAAAGCAACATAATTTTTTCACTAAATATGGTTTATCCGAAATGAAAGAAAATAATAATGTGCTTCGACAAGCAAAGTAACCTCTTCAATCATACATACATCACCATTTAAAATTTAAAAAATATTTGTGTTTTATAAATTAACCATCAAATTGAATATTTTTAAGCATATTCAAATACAATCAAAATTTATACTTCAATATTCCTAACCAATATTTAAAATGTTCCCTTGTTTCAATATTTAATTAACTACATCCTTGAATCAAAATACACTTTTTATTTTTTAAAAACTCGATGAAGGACATGAGTAAACAAATACGTTTGCGATAAATTTTTGACCATTTTCTTTGAACACTACTTAAATTTAAACCACATTAATATTTTTCCTAATAAGTTGGTCAACATAATACCGGAATCATAAGTAAATATATTTCAAGACGATTCTATCTAACTTTTATCTAATATCCACTCATTTAGTGTTTTTCCAAAATAGTTCTGGCTATCAAGAAAAAGTCTCTAATTCAAACTTTTAAAAATGTATATAATTAAATTTTTCTCTATAAATAGGAGTCAATCCTAGGCAAGAAAATCACAACTACTACTACTACAACAAAGCAATTTCATCCCTCATATCCAAACAAACATATTTCTCCTTCCCTTTATCCATGGATAGAAACAAAGTGAACTATGCTTTGATTGAAGATGCTAGTAAAAGAAAAGTCTCATATAATAAAAGACTAAAAGGGTTCTTGAAAAAATCTGATGAACTGAAAACACTTTGTGATGTTGAAGTGGCTACAGTCATATATGGCCCTTACAGAAATGAACCATATACATTTCCAAATAATGTTGTTCTACGCAACACTTTTATAGAGTTTAAGGAGTTGCTGACGTTGGAGAGATCTAAAAAAATGGTGACAAGAGAAAAGTTCACCATGCAAAGGATCAAGAAGTTGGAGGAACAACTTCAAAAGGTAAGGAAGGAAAATACAGTCAAGGAAATGACAAATGTGATGTATGAGGTGTTCAACAGAAAAAATGTTTCTGCTGACATGAACCTTTCCGATCTCAACGACCTACGTTGTGTAATCAAGAAAAATCTCAAAAAGGTACATGAACTAATAGATAAAGAGGATGATGGAGAGGGTTCTACATCGAATGTCCCTCAACCCATTGTTGAACCAATGGCACCCAGTAGGAACAACTCTGAAGAACCAAGGGATCCGTCTCCTCTATTGTTTTCACAAATGTTTCCTCCAATGGTTCCACAATTGTTTTCTTCAATGCCGCATCACATAGCTATTGGAAGACCACATGGATTGACCCCTCCAATGCCGTCAACAATAATGGATTCTCCGATTCCTTCACCAATGATGGATTCTTTGATGCCTTCACCAATGATTGATTCTCCGATGCCTTCATTAATGATGGCTCCTCCAATGTATTTTCTTGTGTCTCCTACAATGACACATCAAATGGAACCTACAATGGATATCCCTTCAATTGGTGTATCAACGTCAATGTATAACAATCAGAATTCCTCTGTTGACTTACCAGATAGTCCTACAATTTCTGGGTTTCTCAACTGGAATGATGATGTTGTGATGACTTTATTGGATGATCCGTTTTTTAAAAATCTTAATGTGCAAGATCCAAAACACACCAAAAAATTAAGGACCAATGTGTGTATTTTTAATTAGTACTATTTTCTATGTACATATGGTCAAAATGAGTATTTACGTTGTTTACTATTTTTCATATCTAAATTATATCATTGGACTCTCTGAATAAGTTTCCCATCGTCCTCCTTTGAAGTGTCCTTTTCTTGTATTCCTTAATTTGTTCAAAGTTTGTAGTTTCATTCACTTATTAAATCGATGGTCAATTATTTTAATGTTTATTACATACAGATTTTTTTATATTTTTACTTACTACTATTATTATTGAAATGTTGCTGTTAGTATAATTTTTTAAAATGACCTCTTACACTGAAAAATATAACAAACCAATTTACATAGAGGGTAAAATTTTATTTTGAAACTTTCTGGTGTAAACTAGTAACACATCTAATATTAAAATTGAATTAAACAACATAATTAATTGTCTTATTTAATATTTATATATATATATATATATATACTTAAATCTGGCGATAGTACAAGATTCATTAGTTTTGTGGCTTTTGTATGTTAAAAACTTCGAAGGTTCTATTTTAACTTAATTTTTAGAATTGATCTTTGCACTCACAAAACATAGAATTGGATCACCACATTTATATTTTGTTTCCATTTTTCTCAGCTTTTTCTCCCTTCGTGAAGTACAGAAATTCTTCCTATGTTCGAAGTCTATTGGTCATAATAAATTTATCCCATGCATTAGAAAAATATTTTTTTGTGTTTATTTATCAATTGGAAGACACAAATATTCAAATAAGAAATAAAAAATAAGGCAAGGGAGATGATAATATATTAATTGGTAAAAAGTGAACCATGATGGTTATTAATACACCAAATTTAATATAAAAATTGAGATTTACATATATCCTAAGGTTACTGAAACATGTCGGTGAATGTTTTAAGCTTGTTGAAATATTTTTTTTTATGATGTTCATTTGACCCGAATGGCCATCTTTATGATGTGATAATTTTTCCCGTTTGGCCATGTTATGTTAATTTTGAACAACTGTTGGTCTGTATATCTAATTTTGGTTGTGCATATTCATGTGTTACAGTATATATTTTGGGTTTTATTTATACTATTGTTCTTTCCCAATAGTTGTCTTTATTGTCAAACCGGGTGACATGTCCAATTCATGATTTGCTAGAGACAAAGTTAAAGTAAGATACTATGGATAGTTTGGTTGATACCATGTGACTGATATGATCAAAATAAATTGAGTCAACTTTAAAATGATCCATGATTTTAATGTGAATGTTTTCATTTGGTTGTTGTCATTCCTATAGAGTCTAAAGCGTCAAGTTGGTATTGATATAGTTGTTTTCTGTTTGGTTGACATTTTCCATAAGTGGTGACTTATTGTCTTCACCTTTTCATATATCGTACCCCAGAAGTGCTAATTGACCTTAAAATGAGTATGTATGAATTAGTAGAGAAATACATAATAGACAAGTTTATGATACTACATGTGTGCATGTTGACATCTTCTTGAGAGTGAGTGTTTGATTCTGAATCTTAAATTCTCTACTTTCATTAATACTATATTTTTCGGGGATTTTCTTTTCCTGAGCTGGCATATATAAATAGAAGAGGTGATTGCCTTTGTCAAATAGTTTTCGTGAAATAAGACACAGATTTTATGAATGATAACTGAGCTTAAATGTTGTCATGTGATAAACCATGGATTCTATGATTAACGTTACTGTCAAGTCGAATTCCTGCGAGGTACAAAAGTGAAGTAAGTCTATGAGAGTTTTTGATTTTTTATTCAGTTTTTTTGTAGGATTTGAGGTCCCAAGTTGGAAAATTGTGGAATTTTATCATTTTGGTTGACTTTAGTAAACATTCGGCGTTCGGATGCTCAGATCAGAACTGTCAGAGTTCTGTTGGATTAGGGCAATCATTTTGGCCTTGGTAAGGTCTTGATTGAATTTTTAGAGGTCTCGAGCTTGATTTAGACGTTTTAGGAGTTGTGATTAGTTTCTTGTGACTTACACGAAACTCGGGTCAAGGAGAACTCAGATTCTTGTTTCGATGATTCCATTTTGTACATAACGTCAAGTATAGTTAGTTTTCAAATATGATTTGTATGTACGATATTCCAAAAAAATCTTGATGGTCCTTTTGATGTTTTGAGAGTTAACTTAACTTTCTGGTCCATGAATTAAATACCCTTTGCGTTTGATATAGGCATTTTGCGTAAGTGACCTTCAGTTAAGCCAAGGTATGATCTTTAAAGCGAAGGGCAAACTTTAGCGGGGTTGGCTTAAGTAAGCCAAGGCGTGCTTTAATGATAATTACTTACGTGGAGCCTAGTTTAAAATAGCGAGACCCCCACTTTAAGTGGGGTACGCTTAGGCGAAACCTGGTTTTTGCCTAAGACACCTGAGAGGGATTTTGGCCTACCATTTCGAGGTTTAATCTCCATTTTCTATTTTTGAGATTTGTAAAATCCTTGGAGGCGATTTTGAAAATGTTTCTTGGGTTAAGCCATTTGGATAAGCCTTTGTGACCCTAAAACTTCAATTTCCTTTAATCATTTATAAATTTAAACATCAAAAGTTGGTGTAACACCCAAAAAATTTCTAAGCTAAAGCCTGAACCATTCTTAATAAACATGTAAAGTTGTATCATGTTATTTTTGTATTGATAAGAGGTGTAAGGGTCAGTTATTTAGTGGGGGAATGGTTTTGGATATGAATTAAGGTCACCAGAACCACCTAGTACAGTGTTGATTCGAAAGCTTACTTATCGATTAAGTTTTGACATAAGATTTTTACTCAATTTAACTTGAAACAACCATATCTCGCATCACAAAATGAATTGTGTTGTTAATTATATTCCTGATTTTTGAGTTGCTATATCTTGCATTGAGATTCTTGAGTTGATTGTTCATTTTTATTTTTTAGCATAAATACTATTACTGATATACTATTTATTTATTACCGAGTTAGCATTGATAATCCTTTAACACAACTTTTTTTTGGTCTTTAATTGATTTTTAAGAAAGTAAAAATAAGTTTTAAGTAGAGTTTAAATACTGATTTGAGTAAGAGTATAAGGGAACTAAGTATTCCTAAATGTATCAATTTTTAAATTGGGAAAAGAGAAATTTCGATCTATTAACGAGTTAATCAGTTTAGAGATATTCCATAGAGTACACTCTTTTAAGAGGATATTTTGAGCAATTACCACAAATTGAGAAAGAGCATAGATTATACATTTGAGCATGAATATATATTTGTTGGAAGTACTATTGAACACTGATATGGGGATGATTTTAGACAACTCGCATTCCTCATAAATGATGTAGCCGACATGGGTAATGCATTATACTTTTTAGATGACTCCTTAATAATGCTTTCGAGTAAAGCTTTAGTGAATCCACTTAGTTGAGATGTTCTATATCCTGACAAGATACAGGACAATTTTTGTAGCTTGGGAAATACGTTGTATCCTCACGTTGCTCATAGTGATGGTTGTTGGTTAGAGAATCTCCAAAATAGAGTTAAAAGTCTATTTTATCATATCACTTAATATGTTGAGTTCAATAATGAGTAAGTATTTATAAAGTTCAAATGATTTCACTCATTTATTTCTTTACATTCAAATTAGGATATATTTATATCTATTGCAGTCCTTTCATTCAATAATTTATCTTCGGCTATATTACATACTCGTAAATTCAAAGTATTGATATCATTTGATCTGCATCTAATTATGATTCAAATACCGGTGTTCAAATCATCAACAGACACTTCGTTGAGATCAGTTTGCACTCCCAATTAGCATTTGGTGAGCCTCTTTGCATTGTAGACGACTCAACTTATATCTTTTAATTAGTTATTTGACGTGTTGTGGGTCATGCGTTGACATCCGTCTTGAACAATAGAGGCTTTATAGATAGTTAGTTTTGAGTATGTTTCCAGTATTCCTTTGTTAAACTATTTTTTTAGCTATTATTGTTTTCAAAATATTTTGAGACAGTTAAGTACTTTGAGATTAAATAATTTAATAGTGGTTAGAAGCTTAATTCTGCTTGGATTAGTCTTTAGCTAAATAGCCATCTAGGGTAAGGGTTCTCTTATGGATCATCAATGGTTCTCAAGTGCCGGTCATGTTCAAGGTGTAGGCTTGGGTGATAGTTGAGATTTTGATTTGCAAATGACAAGGTTTTTTCAAGAACTAGTATTCTATATGATTTTCCTACGGGGCTATATTGATGCCTAGAAGGGCTATTAGTTGCCTACAAGGCTATATTGACGCCTAAGAAGGCTATGTGCTTCCTACAGTGCCATGTTGTTCTCTAACAGGGCTATGAGTTGTCTATAAGCTATGTTGATGCCTAAGAGAGTCGTGTGCTGCCTATTGGGCTATATTAATGCCTAAGAAGGCTGTGACTGCCTGCTAGGCTAGGGGACTACCGATAGGGGTATATAGGCTGATTGGCACCTTCCGGGCTTATGGGGGCCTGAGTGGGTGGCTTGTATGATACTTGTACCTGCCGAGCTTTGGGAGTTGGGTAGGTTGTTGTTTTATTATTTTTTATAAGTTTAGATTTAGGAGCAGGTCAATACACATATCTTATCCTTGATTTATTTATCAGATTATTTCAGTATATCAGGATACCTCCTCATAATCTATTGCCTTTCAAACTCTGTACATTATTTTGTATTGACGCCCCATTGCCTTGGGGTGGCTGCATTCGTGCATACATGTCCTGACAAACGACCGAGTAGATCTCCTCAGCAGCAGGATTGACTTTCATCCGGTTGGCTAGCCCTTTCCTTCGGAGCTGCCAGAGTTGGGAGGTTTGTTACCTTTTGTTGTATATATCTCTATGGGTAGGCTGGGGCCTTGTCCCGCTAATCTTTACTACTTTTACAGACTTGCAAACTAGTGTGTGGGGTGTATAGCTACGTTATGGCCATACTGGCCTATGTTGTTGGTTTGCTGAACTGTGAGCTGTTTGATGTATTGTATTGATATATACCTGCCTTTAGTTTTGGTATAAATATCATGGTGGCCTCGACGGCCCAATCAGGACTTTTATGCTACTTGACTATTTATTTATATGATCTCCTGGGAGTAGCTGTTTCTTTTATAGATCAGTTGACAGGGGCCTTGTCGGCCGAGGGCTTAGTTTTAAGCCGAGATATACTTGTTTGTTTTCTTGATTGTGTGTGGCTGCCAGGCGCTACTAGCAAATGGTTCAGCAGGGTTGACTTGGGCATGAGTTTTGGCATTAGGAGCCAGTTGCGCCCCTCGAGTTTGGGGCATGACAAATTTGGTATCAGAGCAACATCGTATCCTAGGGAGTCTGCATGCCATGTCTAGTAGAGTCTTGTTTATGAATGTGTTACGCACCACATCTGATAAGTAAGAAGCTACCGGCTATGTTAGAATGACTATCCTTCTTTTGCTCACCTCGTGCTATAGAGCGTTGTCTTAAGGTTTGAGGTTTCTGGCTTATAATTGATACTTGTATGCATATAGAGATGATTGACACTAGACATACCACAAATAGCCAGGGGCTAGATACAACTGCAAGCGAGGGTACCTGCAAGGTACCACAGGTGGAGGTAGCCTATTTTGAGACCCAGGGGGAGACATCTTCTCATCCCCCTATAGCTTCTCCACCGCCTCAGAAGCCTTCGAGTTCCTCCTATTCCATCTGATCAGGAATTCAAGAGTGCAGTATGTATGTTAGCACAGCTAGTAGTTGCACAGTGCCAACCAGTTGCGCCAGATGTTGCCGAACCTTCTGAAGGGCCCGAAGTTCGAGAGTTCGTGAATTTCTTGCCTTAAATCCTCCACAATTTACATGGACAGATCGCAGAAAAGACCCTCAACACTTTACTTAATCGGATCTTTAGAGTCATGCATGCCTCAGCAATTGAGTCAGTTAAGTTAGTAGCATTTCGATTGTACGATGTTGCAGTATTGTGGTACGAGAGTTGGGAGAGATCTAGGAGAAAAAATGCATCCCTACCCACTTCGGATAGCTTTAAAGAAGCTTTCATAGATCACTATTTGCCTTGAGAGATTAGGGATAGCCGGGTGTACCAGTTTCTGAACCTCCGACAGGGCAGCATGAGTGTCCGAGAGTACGGGCTGAGATTTGATTCATTGGCAAGATATGCACCAGCATTTGTTGATACGATGCATGATAGGGTGCGTAGATTTTAGGGAGGGCTCGACTTACACTATATCGATGCTTGTTCTACCGCTGCACTAAATGATAATATGGATATCTCACGAATTCAGGCATTTGCACAAGGTATAGAGGATTGCTAATATTTACAGTATATGAGTGAGAGGGTCGAGAGAGAAAGACAGAAGAGGGCTAGGCCCGCTGGTTCACAGGGAGATTTTTTTAGAGTGGTCCCAGACCCCAATATTCTATTAGGCCACCTAGACTTCCACCACAGCACTTCCAGGGTAATAGATTTGATCGTCAGGAACAGTCAGGCCCAGCTGAGGGTTCACGAGCATCAGGCTCGCAACAACAGAGGGGTTCAGGCCAATCTAGGACAGCCCCACCGCATTGCACTACCTTCGGTAGGATGCATTTCGGGAGGTGTAGACAGGGTTCCATAGGTTGTTATTCTTGTGGATAGGAGGGGCATGAGTGGAGAAACTGCCTTACCATAGGTCAGGGTGGTATAGGTCAGTTGACCAGGTCATCAGTAGGTTCCTCCTCATCAGCACAGTCTACAGGGCATGGACCCCAGACTTCAGCATGTAGAGGTAGAGGTGGAGGCAGAGAGGGAGCATCTAGTTATGGTAGTGGACAGAACCGTACGTATTCATTAACTGGTTGACATGACTCAGAGTCATCACTAGATGTTGTGACAGGTGCATTGACTGTTTGCTCCCATTGTGTTTATTCTTTGATAAATCCTGGATCTACTCTGTCTTATGTTACTCCATTTATTGCGGGGAAGTTATGTATAGTAGCAGAGTTATTAGATCGACCCTTTATTGTATCTACACCAGTTGGTGAGTCTATTGTTGCCAGGAGAGTCTATTGAGGTTGCACACAATAGAAATTATCAACCGTCAGACCTCTGTAGATCTCGTAGAGTTAGAGATGGTCGATTTTGACGTTATTATGGGTATGGATTGGTTAGAGTCTTGTTATGCTAATATTGAGTGCTGGACAAATATTGTTAGATTCCACTTTGCAGGAGAGGCAGTTCGGGAATGGAAAGGTGATACAGCAGTGCCGAAAGGTAAGTTTATTTTCTATCTTAAGGCGATGAGGATGATTACCAAGGGTTGTATTTATCATCTTGTTCACGTTTGTGATATAGATGCAGAACCACCAACTCTTCAGTCTATTCCGATAGTTAATGAGTTTCTAGATGTATTTCCAGATGAGCTCCCTGGTTTCCCTCCAGAACAGAAAATTGATTTTGCTATCGATATGCTACCAAGTACACAACCCATATCTATCCCTCCTTATAGAATGGCTCATGCTGAGCTAAAGGAGTTGAAGGATCAACTAAAAGACTTGCTGGATAAAATCTTTATTAGACCTAGTGCTTCACCATGGGGTGCACCAGTATTGTTCGTAAGGAAGAAAGATGGCTCACTAAGAATGTGTATCAATTATCGACAGCTGAATAAGGCAACTATAAAGAATAAGTATCTCCTTCCGAGGATAGATGACTTGTTTGATCAGTTACAAGGTGCTAAGTGTTTCTCAAAGATTGCTTTAAGATCAAGGTACCACCAGATACGAGTTCGGGAGAAAGACGTTCTAAATACAGCTTTTCGAACTAGATATGGACACTTTGAGTTCTTGGTAATGTCTTTTGGATTAACTAATGCCCTAGCAGTGTTCATGGACATGATGAATAGTATATTCAGGCCGTATCTAGACTTGTTTGTGATTGTATTTATTGATGATATTTTGGTGCATTCACGTTCAAAAGATGAGCATGAAAATAATCAGCAAGCAGTCCTTCAGGTTCTTCGAGACCGAGAACTTTATGCAAAGTTTTCTAAGTGTTGATTCTGGTTAGACTCTGTAGCTTTCTTAGGCCATATTGTAGCTTCAATTTCAGCCCCATTAATGAAGCTGACTCAAAAAGCAGCTAAGTTCCAGTAGACTGAGGCTTGGGAGCATAGTTTCCAGGAGCTGAAGGACAGGTTGATATCCGCACCAGTTCTTGCATTGCCAAATGGTATAGAAGGCTATGCGGTGTATTGTGATGCTTCTGGTGTTGGGTTGGGATATGTTCTAATGCAACATGGTAAGGTTATCACATATTCTTCAAGGCAGTTGAGAAAACATGAGAAGAACTATCTGACCCACGATTTAGAGTTGGCTGCAATTGTACATGTGCTAAAGATCTGGAGACACTATTTGTATGGCGTTCATGTTGACATCTTTACAGATCATAAAAGCCTTCAATATATCTTTAGACAAAAGGAGTTAAATCTGCGACAACGTCGATGGCTTGAATTACTGAAAAATTACGACGTGGACATTTTATATCGTCCAAGAAAGACAAATGTGGTAGCTGATGCTCTCAATCGAAGGTCTATGGGTAGTTTATCATATTTAGGGGTTGATAAGTGTGGGCTAGCGCGAGAGCTTAATCAGTTAGCTAGTTTGGGAGTCAGATTGTTAGAGGCAGAAAATAGTAGGGTAACAATTCAGGACACAGCCATATCATCTATAGTTGTAGAAGTAAAATCACGGCAACAAGAGGATCTTAGCTTAGAGCAGCTCAGAGTCAAGGCTCAAAATCAACAGACTTTAGTATTTGATATAGCAGGAGATGGAGTCCTTAGATATAGTGGTCGATTGTGTGTTCCAAATGTTGCAGGGCTTCCGCATCGGATTATGGAAGAGGCACATCATTCATGTTATTCTATTCACCCTGATTCGACGAAGATGTACCATGATATTAAGGAGATCTATTGGTGGGACGGGATGAAGAAGGACGTTGCTGAGTTTGTGGCACAGTGTCCTAACTGTCAACAGGTGAAGGTTGAGCACCAAAAGCCCGCTGGGCTAGTTCAGGAGATAGCCATTCCTTTGTGGAGGTAGGAAGCAATTAATATGGATTTTATTACAGGGTTACCTCGATCGGTCGCAAGTTTGACTTTATTTGGGTAATTATTGATAGAGTAACAAAATCATCCCACTTCTTACCAGTCAGGGCTACTTTTACAGCCAAAGACTATGCAGGGCTCTATATTAGAGAGATTGTTAGGCTACATGGTGTCCCAGTATCTATTATCTCTGATAGAGGAGCACAATTCACCGCCAACTTCTAGAAGTCCTTCCAGAAAGGACTGGGGACACAAGTTAATCTTAGTACAGCCTTTCACCTTCAGACAGATGGCCAACCTGAGCGCACAATTTTGATACTCGAGGATATGCTACGGGTGTGTACGCTAGACTTCAAGGGGAGTTGGGATGACCACTTACCTCTTATAGAGTTCGCATACAATAATAGTTATCATTCCAGCATCGGGATGGCACCTTATGAGGCTTTGTATGGGCGAAAATGTAGATCCCCCATTGGATGGTTTGAGGTAGGTGAGTCAGGGTTGATTGGACCCGACTTAGTA